CACGGAAGTGAGTGTACAGTTTGCCTTTGTCCTGTTGTTTAAGAGCTTCTGAATTGCTTATGTGCACACACTTGAGATACGCAGTATGCATTTTGTTTCTCAACTCTTGCAGGTAGTCCGAGCATTATGCCGGTGGCCTATTCTCTCCATATACGGACTTCGTTTGTCAAGGAATGCAAAAGAGCTTCGTGTTGATGACGAATGGTTGCAGTTGGAACATAATGCAAGCTACAAGCTGCAATTCCACTTGGATTTGCTTGGACCAGGTCGAGTGAGTGGTACATTGTCAATCCTTCCAGTTCTCTTCGCACGCGAATGACAAAGCGCCCAGTTAAACAATAAATCAACAGATGAAACAGCTGATAAGAATAAGACCGTCAAAACTTCAAAACGAAGGAAATTTAAATGTTGTGCTGACGAGGACTTGACAGCGAAATGCGACTCAGCAATATTCGTTCAAGAGAGCTCGTGATGCAAAAACAGCGGCAGCAGCAGTTCAGCTTATTGTGCTCGTTTTGATCTTTTGATTAGCCCTCCTGCGCATTTTATTCGAAATTATTATTCGACTTTTCATTGAATTTAATTAGCGAAAGGGAAAAGGTACTGACAAACCTACGGATAAATCTTCTAAGAGATGGATAATCAGTTGAAGTGGCTTCTTGAACTAAGATATACGCCGCTGATGTTCCTTCGGGCGATGATTAAGAATTCGTCTTCCAAATCTGCTGCGATTCTTCTTGAGCAAAGTTACGGAGGTTTTTTTTGCGGAAGCATACCAGCACTCAGTGCAAATCTCAGGCCTAGGCAGGCCACTCTTTTTTCACCTTCGCCAATGACGCCATCCTAGGCCCTCTACAGCTGATGGGTCTGAACTGGCTGCCCTCCAAGCCATGCCCCGTCAGACGCCCTATCTTTTGCAGGGATAGTGAGTATATCCTCGTTGCGCTTGGCCTCAAATCGCATTTTTAATTTTGCGGACTTTGTCTCGTATTCGAAGCAAATTTCTGAGTGTGGGTATGCTCCCTCACCCCTCCTCCTCCCCAAGAATTTCCAGAGTCAGGTCTTTTGAAGCTTTTGTAGCTCGCGGTATTTGTCGGTAACATTAGTAAGAACAAAAAGTCGTGGTTTCTCATCACCGACATACAGCGTGAGCTAGGCATCCCACGATGGGACCTTTGACCTTTGAAGAAGACGAGAAGGTCGAAACGATAGGGCAATAAAAAGTTTCATCCAACAGCCTCGTTCGGCAGAAGTAATTAAACAATACACATTATGCCGAGGTTGCAATAAAGGACAACATGGAGGTCTTTGAAAACGCCCACAACTTTGTCCAGAGAGGTTCACAGCAGGTGTGGAAAACGAGTCCCCATATTACCGTCTAAACATCCATCAGGTGGCATAACTAGCTGCTTGTGAAGGTATTTGGAAACTATATACGGAGGCAGGTGAAGACGAATTTGAGGACAAACTGTACATGCACCTCTGTGGATGTGGTCCTGCGCTGAATGGGTCCTCTCCTGCAGTTGTGTGCTAGATTCACCACTTAAAAAAGCGCAGAAACAGGGCTGAATTAGGGTAGATCCTGGGTGCCGTCATGACAGTCCTTGTTCGCAGGATAACTATCTCGACTCATGCAGAAATGCTCCATTCACTGAGACGCGAGTAGAACGTGTGGCTTTTTGGCCCTCACCACCACCACCACGACCTACCTACCTACACATCACCTTGCTCAGGTGGCTAACCTGCATCGGGTTTTTTGTTATAGATTGAAAGACAATATTGGAAGAAACAGTGCCAGTGGAGGGTCTTTTTCTGGTTTAGTAATAGATATTAAGCATGATGTAATGGTTCCCGGACGAAGGTTTTAGTGGCAAGAGCTGTACGCTCCACGCGTAGCAGGTGATAGGGAGTCAAGACCTCGGTCGGCTCGCACGCAACGTAGGCCGACTAAGGGCTAGAGCGTGGAGGTCTTGCCGCTCCCCCGTGGTCAGCGTTAACTTGGTTACAAGATTCGTATGGGAGTAGTAGAGTGCGTGTCGCATCTCTCAAAGGAATTGATCAATGGCGAAGACTTGTGGACTTTATGTAAGTAACCTATGCAAAAAGAGCTAGTTTTTTTGGTCACAATGACACACTGTGTTAATCAGCAATCTCGAAGGAGCTAGCTCGGCCACTATTATGAGGTCCTCAGCTCGGTACTTGTATGCTTAATATATGTAGTTGTATATAACTTTGACAAATAGTGAAAATTTCCTCAATTTCCCTCGCACATAAATTAGGTTTGGCGAATCCATGCAGTGCTTTCAGTTCAATACTGGGGCCTACCTGACGCAATGGTCTAAAGAGAAAACAGCTGGCTGGATTGTCATTTTGGGAGAAAAGGACAATGACCGGATGATATCACTGTGTCATGTGAGCGTCGCTGAAAGTGATCGTGCTGTCCGAATGGACTTTGTTACCCCAGACAAGAGGTATTTGTGTAGTTCTTTATTCCGTGTCGATTTTCGCCTCCTAATCATCCCCTGTTTTCAGAGGAAGATGTTACCTGAGCGTCTTCATCATGTCCGATTGTTATCTAGGAATCGATCAAGAGCTACAAATCAAAGCTGATTTGATTTAATTCACTTTGTTACCTCTGCGACTGCGACTTTCTCAATTTTTTTTCTTCAATCGCCTTCCTTTTGTGATGTAATTAACTTTATTTTCTTAGAAGATTTAATTTTTCAAATAATTGACGGTGGCGGGCTCTGCAAATCTAGTTTCATTTCATCTGTGATTTCTACATGTTTGACAGGTGTTGTTGAATTTGAACTCTGTTGTTGACGACCATTTTAGACAGCTATTTATAAAATTGAAAATATAACAGCGTGAGTAGCTCACTGCACTGCAGGAAGCGGAGTACATCAGTCCGATTGAAGTGATCCTTCGGAAAGGGTAACTTCTTGGTTCATTAACCAGTCAAAGGTTTACCGTATCGCTGCTGTAGGTCAGTTCATAGGATTAAATGTTGGACTTTAGAGGCAGCGCCTGCGTTCAATTTGATGAGTTATGGGGCTCAGACAGTGATAGCAAAGTGGCAAGTAGTTCATTAGTGAAGAAAAATGCAAAAAAAATCATCGGATATGCCCTATATAGGACCCCACGCCGAGCTGAGGTTGTACGTGCTTGAGGCGAAGAGAAAGAGCGGTTGCACGAGTTCTCACTTGTTGGTATCAGCTGTTTTCCCTTATCACCTCACTCTCACCATTCGAAGTGGAGAGTTAGTAGCGGAACAACCGCACCATCAGGCAACCATTAGAAATGAAGTTGGGCGTAGTGGTCGCCAGGTGGGCGGGGTGGACTCCTTACGATCGGGCGATGCTATTCTCTCGCACTTTGAGTTGCGAAACTAGTACGTATACTATCCTCATAGGGTGAGCTACGATATCCAAAGAGGACGTGGAAACAACAAATGAACGCGGGCGCTGCCTTTAAGAAGGTGTCACACCGCAGTGCATGGAAGTTCACAGGGAAAAGAGTGATTAGTGACTAGCCGAAGATTAGAGCTCGAATTTTCACTTTGAATTCACCACTTTTCAAACCAAATTCACCACTTTTCAAATCAAATTCACCACTCTTTTTAGACCGGGCAGTTCACCAACCAGATCACGCCAGACACCACTGCGAACCCTGCCCCGACGGTCACGCCTACTTGTCAGCGCGGACATAGATTTTCAACACATGGCCGACTCCGCCCAGTCTTTAAAGGGTTTGTTGCGAACTTCGAAATTTCATAACTTTTCAACTTTTTAATTTCACATCCACTCTGCGCAACGAAGACACCCATAACCGCGCATTCATGCTCCGGGAATCCAGGCTCCGCCCCCCTTAGCCACGCCCGCTCGTTTTTGCGGATTTTTGATATATTTTTCCAAAACTTGCGTTTTTGGACTGCTCCACCAAGCCTCGCCCACTGTGAGAGGCTCCGCCCACTCTGAAGAGCCCCGCCCACTCTGAAGAGGCCCCGCCCACTTTTCGATCGGCAGTATAGAGCCTTGGCTTGCATGCTAGGGTCTTGTCCATCGCTCGGAACATCTTTGCCTGAATAGTCCATGTTCGACTTTCTTGCAATCTTGGCATGATGTATATAGTTCTTGTATTTCTTCTAGCCTTTCCAAGATTGAGCAACTTTATTGAAGGCCTACGTTTCGGCGTCTTCGCCTTCGTCAGAGCCTGAAATGGTCAAAAAACATTTCGAGACCTGCTCGCTCAAACATTTCAACAATACTCAAGACGATTTCCACATACCAGTAAATCACCCAACGGTATCGATCTAGGGCGGAACGCTGGCTTACCTTGATCTTGGACGCGTGACGCAGGGACGACCACCCTGTAGAGGCTCAAGCGTGGAGTAAGAATTACTGGTAACCTCCCTCGACCTCTCGGTAGGTCAAAACTTGCAGAGGTCGAGAAAGGCTGCGAGCTCACGCGTTATGACCACACACTCTTCCTTGCGATTCATTTGTGGGTCCTTGGCCGTGATCCAAAAAGCCTCCAGTGTCTTGCGCGCCGTGATCTCGACTTCCTGCGCTAAGATGGTCACCGCTACGTCGAATGACGTGCCTCCATGGTGTTGACTACGGTGAACCCCTAGCGGTGTGTGGGCTTGTGACCTCCTAAGACCCTCCAGATGTTCCTTGACCTACTCGAAGGGGACCCCCTACGGCCTGTCTCCGATAACCCACAAGCTTGATCGGATACGGGCACTGAGGATCCTGGTATTTATAAGGTGAGGCCCATTATAAGCAACATTGGGGGGCCAACTGATAAAATATCTTGGTTCCTCAACGTGATTTTGGGGCAGCTTCTACAGCACGTCCCCGCCCACCTAACTAATACCAGTATGCTACTTGATAAACTGTCTAGCGCAAACCTGGGGAAGGAGGCGTCATTGAATCATTCGATGTTACATCCCTGTACACCAATGTTTCAAATGATGCCGCTCTGGAAGCCACGTACGAGCTACTGTGTGAGCAGGAATCGACGCTGAATCTTTACGGATTCACGATTTCGCAACTCATGACAGTTTTACAGGAATGCATACAATGCTCAATATTTAGGTGGTCGGGTGAATATTACCAGCAGCTGAGAGGCTTGGCGATGGGGCAACGGCTAGCTCCTGTGTTAGCCATAGCCTTTATGTCGAAGATCGAAAAGCCTGTCCTGGACCGTAGACCAATCCTATATTCTCGATACATTGACGACTGCCTCGTAATATGTTCAACACAAAGCGAAATGGATGCCTGTTTCGCTCTATTGAATGAGCAGTCAGAGAACATCAAGTTCACACGGGAAAAACCCGTGGCGGATTGGCTACCCTTCCTTAACATCCAGGTCCAGGTTTCACGGGGGTCAGTCAGGACCAAATGGTACCGGAAGCCGACCAACAAGAACATTCTGGTCCATTATACCTCGGCCCATCCGATAAAAACAAAACAGGCGGTCATTAGAAATATGTTCAGAGTGGCTAACATGGTGTCGTCAGATCAACAGCTGAAAACAGAATCGAGGGATATGGCCCAGGGTATTGCGTTATCTAATGGATATCCTTGCTCTGGAGCAGCGCAGCGGGGGTATTCCACAAGTCGGAGAACTCTCAATACAACAACACCTAACAAAGTTCCTTTCTGCTTACCGTTCATTTCCGAAGACCTAAGCAGGGCAGTCCGATCGTTATTGGTTCGGTGTGATCTGCAGGACGATGTTAGGATTGTGGAAATACCCCCTGTAATCTTAAACAACAGCTGGTTCGCAACCGATCCTACGATACCTTATGTGGCACTCCTGACTGTGTGATCTGCCCCTTTGGCAAACCGGGTGACTGCATGAAGTCCGCAGTTATCTATTCGATACGCTGCCAGAGCTGTGGATGCGAATATATAGGAGAGACAGGCCGTCCCCTTCGAGTACGGGTCAAGGAACATCTGGAGGGTCTTAGGAGGTCACAAGCCCACACACCGCTAGGGTTCACCGTAGTCAACACCATGGAGGCACGTCATTCGACGTAGCGGTGACCATCTTAGCGCAGGAAGTCGAGATCACGGCGCGCAAGACACTGGAGGCTTTTTGGATCACGGCCAAGGACCCACAAATGAATCGCAAGGAAGAGTGTGTGGTCATAACGCGTGAGCTCGCAGCCTTTCTCGACCTCTGCAAGTTTTGACCTACCGAGAGGTCGAGGGAGGTTACCAGTAATTCTTACTCCACGCTTGAGCCTCTACAGGGTGGTCGTCCCTGCGTCACGCGTCCAAGATCAAGGTAAGCCAGCGTTCCGCCCTAGATCGATACCGTTGGGTGATTTACTGGTATGTGGAAATCGTCTTGAGTATTGTTGAAATGTTTGAGCGAGCAGGTCTCGAAATGTTTTTTGACCATTTCAGGCTCTGACGAAGGCGAAGACGCCGAAACGTAGGCCTTCAATAAAGTTGCTCAATCTTGGAAAGGCTAGAAGAAATACAAGAACTTTGCCTGATTATTTTGACGGACGAGACCCTAGCATGCAAGCCAAGGCTCTATACTGCCGATTTGCACCATTTTTGAAAAGTGGGCGGGGCTTCTCACAGTGGGCGGGGCTTCGTGGAGCAGTCCAAAAATGCAAAAATTTTGAAAAATATCAAATTCCGCAAAAGCAAGTGGGCGTGGCCAAAGGGGCGGAGCCTAAATTGCCGGTGCATGAATGCGCGTCTACGAGTACCTTCGTTGTGCGAAGAGTGGATGTGAAATTAAAATTGAAAAAGTTATGAAGATTTGAAGTTCGCAACAAACTTTAAAGAATGGGCGGAGTCAGTCATATGTTGAAATTCCATGTCCGCGCTGCCAGGTAGGCCGCGCTGCCAAGTAGGCGTGACCGTCGGAGCAGGGTTGCGGTGGTGTCTGGCGTGATTTCGTTGGCGAACTGCCTGGTCTAAGAAGAGTGGTGAATTTGGTTTGAAAAGTGGTGAATTTGGTTCGAAGTAGTGAAATTGGTTTGAAAAGTGGTGAATTTAAAGACAGCTCCCGCGATAAAAGTGTCAAGGATAATTGCTGATCAATTATGAAACAGTAGCTGATAAGTAATTCCTCAATGAAGGAAAAAAGCAACAAGAGCCCTCAAGAACCACAAACAAAATTGCTCCAACACCGCCCTGCGTTCCGTGGTCCGTGGGCAACCCGTGGCTCACAAATCGCTTTATGGCATTTCCCAGTAGTGGACAACATCCAATTCAAAGAAAAGAATATGAAAAACAACAAAGACACGAACGAAAAACACTTGAAAAAGGAAAAATTCAAAAACCTGGCTTCCAAATTTGGGGTTACGTGCAGTGTGCAGCTTTTGGTGCATGTCGAGCTTTTGCACCACAGAAATTGCATCATTCGTGATTTTTACGCGTTTTACCTTACGAGATGGGTTGCAGTTGACTGTATGTGCTCCCAATGAATAAAATGTGATGAAGGAGAGCAGAATTATTTATGGGCACGAGCGCGGTCAGCAAAAAGTACATGCAGTTCCGATTAATGCCCGCCGTCCCAACAAAGAACAACTGAGCGGCTCTCCGTCAGAGGGCAGCTAGCAAGTGGGGCGGTCCAACTGGGTTAGAACTA